TTTTTTGGTACTGGGGATTGAACCCAGGGGTATTTAACCACTGAGCCACATCCCCAGCCCTTTTTATATTTTATTTAGAGAATGGTCTCTCTGAGTTGCTTAGAACCTCGCTAAGTTGCTAAGACTGGCTTTGAACTTGAGGTCCTCCTGTCTCAGCCTCCCCAGCTGATGTGCCACTGTGCCCAGCAATTCTGCTACTTTTTAAATCAGAAAACAAATATTGCTCAAAACAATGAAAGAAATTTAAATGATGTCCATGTTCCACAGGAAGTGAGAGGAGAACTCACCTTTCCTGCACCTCCTGCCCTGGCTCTGCACTGCTCCTGCTTGGTGCCAGGGATGAGCCTCTTGAACAGCTTATAGGTGCCTTTGCCTGACACCTCTGAGGCAGGGGTCAGTGTAAAGCTCATTATGTGAGACTGTTCCATAGCATAATCCAAAGCATGGCCCAGAAAGGGGTCAGAACTACTTACGTCCAAAGTCATGAATTCCTGCCCTGCTTGCTGGGATTTCATTTCTCAGATACACCAGGACTGCTGGATACCACACACACACACACACACACACACCTGTAATGCTTTCTTTGAATCATTTACTAACCCCCTTTGTTTCAAATACAGGTTACCATAGATTCTGGGTATAAAGCGATCCTCAGACCCACAGAGATAGAACAATCCTACTGTGAGGCATTTGAATTCTCTCAGAAAGGAAATTAGAGTCCTACAGCAATTCCTTACTGATGGCCATTGACTAGAGACCCACGGCTTCTTGCCAATAACAAACTTATAATGTCCGTAAGTACTATTCAATGAGCTTCATATTCTATGCTATAAATAATGTTTCTCAGATGGACACATTTTAACATTATATAGGTTAATCAGGTTCCTCTTCTGCATACAGGTCTGTAATGGAGACATTGCTCTCCATTCAAGCTGTTGGAAGAAACCACTACTGGAAGTCCAGACACTTTGCAACTTCTTGACAGCCAATCTACTGCAGGGCAGCTTGGGGACACAAACATTCTATAGCTGACATTAAAAAATTGAACACTGCCCCTTTCGTCATTGTCACTGTCCAGTGACCTAAGGACTTAACAGAAGTAGGTAGTTCCCACATTGAGGTGTAATATGAAAAGAAGCTGGTAATGGAAGAATCGCCTTAGTTTTCTAAGACAAGCAAAAAAAAAAATGAATTCTGCTATAGATTTATCTGATTTGTAATTAAACTCAGTTCCACTGCACACATTCATTTCCTCCTGGAAACAATCACATTATGAAAATAAAGGAGGATGAGACTTTTTTGTTGTTGTTGTTTTGGGTGGTGGTAGGTAGACAGGACCTTCACTTTCTTTCAACACACCCAATAACAAGTGCACACAAGGCTACTGTCAATCAATGATTTATCACCCTACAGATTCTCATGGAGAATGTTGACTCTGGATCATGTCTTGGCCAATCTTCTGAGCACAGGACAAGTAGTTATTGTTTAAGCAGAGTAGAGCAGATATTTGTTTTTCTTACCTAGTTAACTTATCTAACACCCTACTCTGACTTGATAACTCCTGCCTCAGTGGCAGATAATAGTGTGGGAATTTTGTGGTCCCATGTTAGACACCTCAAGGGAAGTTTCTTGTCTACAGTGTGTTGTCAAGGAATATGATGTGGAAGGTGACCATCATCTGGGCTGTCCTTTGCCACCTAATTCTTTTTCTCCAGAGGCTTTTTAATTACAGCGGTAAGTTTATAGATAGAAAGTTGCATAATGACTTGAGATGAGCTATGCAGTGAGGTCCCTTCCAAAACCAACAAGGTCTCTCAAGCCTTCTTTGAATGAAACTTCCTCTTCTTGCCCCCAGTGTGGGCATGGTGGCTTACACAGGAGCTTCAGACAAGTCACTCTGGCCATGAATACTAAATTTACTTCCCAGAACCTCACCAGAAAGTTTCCTTTGTTTTACTTTTTAAATGCTGATTTTTCAATGTGGCTTAGGCTTGGAAGTAGCTATTTTATCACTGCCATAGAAAGGGAAAACCAAAGTGAGATGAAGCATTTTGAAGTGCATTGTTCAACAATATTTTTTAGTCTGTGTGCATCAGTTAATTAGATTGCAGTATGTTTTCCTATAATTGTAAAATTAGAAATATCAAAATGGGGGCTGCCCAGAGCACACTGTACACTTTGATAAACAAATTATGTTGCAAAATTTTTATGCTACCACAGTTTCCACAAAAGATGTTTTCCACATTCTGACCATTTCATTGAAATGATTTTTCATTTCTAATGGATTTTTTATTACCATTTAATGCAAATAGCTATTCTAGGCTTTATTTTCACAATAATTTTCCTTCCCCCCAATTATCTTTAATTCTTAAGAGTTTTGTTTTGTTTGGTTTGGTTTGGTACAAATTACAGGAAACAAGCTCAGAACATTTTATCTTATTACAATTGGATTTTGTGACATTATCTTTCCCCTGCATTACTTGAAGCTGGAGCTGAGAAAAGAACAGAAAGTCTCCAGGGATTTGCCTTACATTTGGATCTTTTTTAGAAGCGATTCTTTCACCCAGTGCACATGAAAGCAACCACTAGGCTCTACTCTGCACCCTGTTGCCAGCCTAAACCCTCATTCAAATTCTCCCTTCTCAATTACACACTTTTCTAAAAGGCCAAACACGTCTTTTTTGAAAAGTCCTTCCCTCATCCCCAGGTTCCCAAGGTAAAGGAAATGCTGAAAGATGGTAAAGTCTATTTCCTCTTTAGGGAGGGAGCATGTTCCTACAATCTCTGATTTTTCCTAAGGGGAGAAAAACTCTCTCTGGTCCACTCCTGAGCTCCACTGCCTTTTTCCCCCCACTTGGTGTTTTCTGAATAACAATCCAGAGAGCAGGCTATTTGCCCTCTGCACCTCCTTCCTATGTGGCCACACATTCGGAGGTGCCAATCATCTGCAAAGCAGTTAGAGCCCCTAAGGCTCCCGCATGGGAAAGACCACAAAGCACCCGCTCCACAGCACTTCCAAGTAACTTCTCCCAAAGTGCGCGCAACTGGCGACCCGCCTGCGCGACCCACCTGCGCGGCTCACCTGTGCGGCTCACCTGTGCGGCATGCCTGTGGCGCCCGCGGCGTGCTCGCTGCTCAGGTCGCACAGTTTTAGGTACCAGCTCATCTCCACTTCTCGCAGCGCTGCCAGTTGCCGCGCCCGGAGCTGGCTTGGCCCCGAGGGGCTGAGGCTGCTGTCCTTGCCATTGTCGGGGGTCTTCTTGGGCGATTTGTCCTTGCCCCCCGCGGGAAACCCAGACTGCCTCCTTAACTTGCTGCTGTCTTCGGAGAGATGGCCCCCTGCTGCCCCGGTCCGGGCCGCCAGCATCGCGGAAGTCCCCGTCTGTCTTCCAGAGAAGACTTTGAGTCACTGTCACCAAAGCACTTGGCTTTTCTGCGTGTGCCTCTGTCCTCTTGCCTGCCCCCACGCTCGCGCTCCCCAGCCTCTCCCTGCCAGGCAGCTGTAACCGAGCCGGCGCCGGGATGAAAGCGGACCTCTCCTTCCCGGTGGAGCCACCTGTGACATGCTGGGACACCGCCTTCCAAAACAAGGCACCCTGACTTTTCAATACTGAAGCTACGCTCTCTTCTGCTTCATTCCACCAGGATAACTCTGGACCTCAGACCATTAGTGGCCCAATTATATCTGATCATCATGTTCGTGTTGTAAACTATGCTATCCAGAGACTCTGCAGCCCTTCTTCATTTGAGTCCCTTTGGATTTTAGAAAGTTTTAATGTGAATTTCCTCAAGTGAGTGTAAAAATATCCATGCAAGAGGAGGGTCATTCCTTTTGTGGAAGCCTTAAAATAAAATGACTAATTCCTTTGGGAGCAGACTCTGAATGTAGGTGAAACACATAATCCAGATCAAGTGCCCTCTGACCCCTGATGTAAGAATGGTAAGCCCCCACAACTGGCCCTTCTGTACTTCTAGTGATGGAAGGTGTGAGGCTCTTCTAATAATTAGGGAGGCTGAGGCCAAAGTTGAAATGAAAAAAGAGAAGAATGGGAGGGAGTAGTAGGAGCCCATGCACGTGTGTGTGTGTTTGTGTGTGTGTGTGTGTGTGTGTGTGTGCGTTTGTAACGTGTGCACACATGCGCCCAGTGCACATGAATGCTGCACTGCAAAAAGAAAGTTCAGCTCACACCCCATGATTAAGATGCATGGGGTCCTCAGAAGTGCCCATGGATCCTACCTCTGTTCTAGCTCAGGGGTATCAATGATAGCACCCACCTCAGTTATCTACCTCAAAGGTGCTTGGTGGCCTCTAAGTCTGGCACCTGAATCAACCTAGGTCCTTCCCATATCAGCTGTTTCAGGGTCTGAGGGATGTAAAGAACTCCAGTAGGTGTGTGAAGTTCCTGTTAGTGAAAAGACCACAGGTTCAAACTCATAGAGAGGCATAGCAAGTTCTCAGAGGCAAGAGAGGAAAGAAGAGCTCTTGCTGGAGGCATACAAGGTCATCAGCACTTGAAAGCAGGCAATGTCTTTAAAGATCCTTATGGCTCTTCACTAATCCAAACCAAGAATTTTTTTTTTTTTTTTTTTTTTTTTTTGGTGAGAGGGTACAGGGGATTGAACACAGGGGCACTCAAGACTGAGCCACATCCCCAGCCCTATTTTGTATTTTATTTAGAGAAAGGGCCTCACTGAGTTGCTTAGTACCTCACCATTGCTGAAGCTGGTTTTGAACTTAAGATCCTCCTGTCTCAGCCTCCCTAGCTGCTAGGATTAAAGGTGTGTGCCACCATGATCAGCAAAACCAAGAACTTTTAAGGGACAGCTATGGCACTGCATGGACTCTCTCATGCTCAGGGAAAAGCTGATCATTCTAGGATTAGACCTGAACACAAACCAATGTGCAACCTGAAGCTTGTATCAAAGGGCAGAGAGTCGGCTCATGGAAGAGTCAGAAGCCACCTGGCTTCCAAAGAAGGAGAAACTTCTCACTCTAACTCATTGAAAGGAGGATGAAATAATTGGGGCCATGTTTAAAAGCTACCATGAACAGGTCATTATCCCTATTTTTATAAATGAGAAAACTAAAGCCCAGAGGGGTAAGCAATTCATCTAAGATCACTCAGCAGGTCAGTGATGGAGTTCGAATTCAACTCAAGCAGTTAGAATTCAACTCAGCTCCCAGGGTCGGTCTCATCTGAGTCTATGGGGTCCCAGGAACCTTGGTACCAGCAGGTTTAGCCTCTCCAAAGTCTCTCCTTAATCCCATCCCATGAGTCTTTGAGGAATTCTAGCAATATGGTATGCATAGCAACAACACTCTCCAAAGTGCAGACTTCCGGGACCAAGGTCAAGCTCCCCAGATTGATCTTCCCACTGACATAAGTAGGGGGCTCTGCAATGAAACTTGGGAGAGGGGACCATGCTCATTCACCCAGCATGGCAGAAGGCTTCACCATCCCCTGGGCTGGTCATCTGAGGAGCAGCGCCATTGTGCTTAAGTTCTGCTGCCCACCGTGCGGGAGCCAGCTGGGGAAAGGGGCTCGTCGGACATGACTGACAGGCCTCCCTAGTGAGATCAACCACCCCACCCTTCCAGGAGCCCTAACCACACGACTGTGAGCTGAAGAAAATGGCTACCACCATTAAGTTTTTTCTGGGGTCATCCACTGTGCCACAGAAATAACCAGAACCCTACTTGTTCTCTTGTTATAAGTCTTTAGCAAAACATAGGGAACACTTAGATTCACGTCTACCACTTAGATGTCTACCACATTTCATGCATATTAACATTTATTCTCCAGATTGGATCCTAGAATCCAAATTTTTTGCTTATGTTTCCCCTTTGAAAGTTTGAGAAACTAAATAGTAGCTTAAACACTTTGAAGTACACTTTTTTTTATAGTAAATTAAGTAGTCGGGAGGGCTGCAATATCTAGCATATTGTAAATGTTACTATTTTTAAATGGAGCTGCTACATCACTATTTTAAATGTATCCAGTGGAATTTAAATCCTGTAGCTATTTGATATCTATCATCATCCATGTAAAAAATTCATGAGCAAGCTCTTCTTTAGCAGCTGGAAATTTTACATTCTTCCTTTTTTTCCCTCCTGAACTAGTTTTTCCATCCTATCTCTCACCTCAATATATAATATTTGCGTCCTTGAAAATATTTTACAGATGACCCTATTGAATAATTCTCTGCCACAAAAATATGAATTTAAATAAAAATTTTAATTTTCATGCCCATAATGCTTAATTAACATCTTAACAATTGAGTTAGCATGACAGCTGTCATTGGACTTAGTTGAGCCAAACTAGATTTTTTATATATTTTGGTAAATTTTCGTTCAACATTAAAAGTAAAATTTTATTGATAACATGTCTTTCAATGGTCTACATATGCCTAGGATTGTTTTCTTCTAAATGAGGCCACATGTCCACAGAGGAATAATTTTTGTTGGTAGAATGAGACAGGAGTCCGCATCAATTCCATTCTCCACACCTGATTTTTTTATTTTCCATTTGTAAAGATACGTGTTCCAAGAAACCTCATTTACATAAATGGATCAATGGATACAGAAGGCTTTATGGTCATAAAATCATTCAGGTTCTTTGTCTTCTTGGATATATTCACCTGCTCGATTGATGATGCACCTACCATTGACCCTGAGATGGGGGCATCTAGAGGCTGTGGAAGGAGTCACAGGATCCCTCTGGCTCCTGCTCTGAGAGTGGAGAGGTCAGGCCGGACACGGGGAGAGCAGGGTGGGGCCACTGCAGTGACCCAGGTGAAGGTGACAGACGGTGGTGGCCAAGGAGGCCAAGTGGTCAGAAGAGTTGGGAGGCCATGTAGAGGGTGTTATGAAGGTTAAAAGGTAGAATTTCCCAGCAGTTGGTACCAGGAAAGCAGTACCTAAGCATACGAGGAGTTGCCAGTGGCACAAGGACCCTGGCCTGAGCCACTCCTGAGATGAGAAGGAGGAGTGTCAAGTAGGCTGGCCCGTGTGGGTGCAGCCTGGAGGCTGTTTTGTACTTAGCCGCAGCCCCCCCCCCACAGCTTTCTGGTGCCCTCCATTCTTCCTCAGGCTCCCAGTTTCTGTCCCTTGTCATCTCCCACAGTCTGAAGAAATCCCCAGACATTGTACATCACCAGCCTCCGTCTCCCTTTTCTGAAAATGCCTTTATTTCACCTTCATTTTTAAAGGATACTTCCCCCTGGGAAAGGTAAATGGGGAAGGCTGCAAAAGTTGTTTTAAAGCAACTAGATGACTATCCTTGGTTACAGGGATCAGTAACAAAGGTGGCATCATCCAGGGTTGATCAGGCAGTTCTCATGGAATTCCTCATGGAATTTTTGTTGTTTTGTTTTTAGTACTGGAGATTGAACCCTGGGGCACTTTACCACTGAGCCTCATCCTCAGTTCTTTTTAATTTTTTTTTTTTTTTGAAATAGGGCTTTGCTAAGTTACTGAAACTGGCCCTGAACTTGCAATCCTCCTGCCTCAGCCTCCTGAGTCGCTGGGATTACAGATGTACTCCGCCACATCCAGCTCATAAAAGTATTTGTTTTGTGTAAAGTTGCATTGGCCTTTGTGCAAAGCTGTGGATTTGGCCAGGTCTTTAATGATAGTTCTTGTTAACATGCAAATACCTGTGTGGGCCACCCTCTACATGGTCCCCCAAGTCCATTTCTTTAGGATTTGACATAAATTAGTCCATTTTGACTTTGACAACCTTCACAAATCCTTGTGTGCAACGTGTTAACTTCTGGCTGGCCATTTTCAATATTTTCTCCTTGTCTTTGGTTCTGATTAGTTTGACTACGATGTGCCCAGTTTTCCTTATATTCATACTGCATGGGATTTGCTTTGCTAGTAGCTTGACTCTATAAATTTCTGTTTCTCATCAAGTTGGAGGGAGCTTTGGCATTAGGTTCACAGAGTTCTTCCTCTCCTCCGGGACTCCTGTAACAGGCACGTTAGATCTTTTAACATTGCTGCTCATGTACTTGACACGCTGTTCTTCTGTCAAGTCCATTACTGTTCTTCAGGTTGGGTAATTTTATATATGTGTCTTCAAGCGGCTCCATCATCTCCACTCTGATAAGAGCATCTTGTAACATTCTGTAAAATTTCAGGTGACTATGATCGGTCCTAGAAATCTCATCTGGGTATTCTCCAGAGCTTCTATTACTCTGACCTCTTATCTCTCATTCGCTGCAAGTATGTTTACTTTACTGCACCGAGTGTAGATACCGTAGCTGACTTCAACTCCTGATCTGGTCTTTCTCTTTCTAGTCATTCCAAAGCTTCTCCCAGTGCACAAACCTGACAGAAAGCAGGGGAGAGGGAGAGCCTGGAATCTGCTCTAACAATGG